ACGTATCAATTTCCAAATGAGAAACGACTATTTTCCAGGCAGTGGGTACCTACTTTCCATGAGCAGACACAAACTTTACATCCACAAGCACTTTTCGCATGCTGTCATTAATTTGATAGCAAATGACAGTTGTCAGTTGTCAACTCGATCACCGCTCTTGCACCGTGCCGTATCATAGCGACCACAGCGGACGAAAAATTAGTGTAAGTATCTACTTGCCTTGAAAAATAGTCAATTTTTCATTTGTAAATCAGTACCTCAAATGTAATTTTTTGTAGAGGATGACGAAAAAACTATTTATTTCCAATCATCATTTGAGAAATAACTACAAAATCATCTACTTTCACATTCGAATCACATTCTAGGTTTCGTATAGCTAATATAACGAGGACTAAAATAATAATCAATGAAACATATCATTGAAACTTCACTGAACATAATAATACACACCATGTGACATTTTCAAATAACGCCATTTCACCATAAGAATCATTCGAGTGTGAGTGAAAATTAGGGGAATCTAACATGAACATTATCAAATATCATGAGCATGAGGGTAAAATATATTTAACTAATAGACGAAGAAGGTGCGAGGTGTGAGATCCTTAATACCAGTAGGCAAGAAACAACACAAAAAAGCACAAAAGAGACCGAAGGGGATGCATGTCATGTGATGAAAAAAATATATCTCTGTATGGTACATATAGGTAGATAGGTATGTACGTATTAAGCATTGTTTGGAAAGATACTTCTTTTAAAATAAGTAAAATGTTGAACAGTGGAAAAATATCAAGGTGGATTTTGGGAGATACGATTCTTAAAACAAGGAATAGCAAAACAAAACCAAAAGTTCAAAAATCAAAACAATTTGTTAGTTGGTATTTCAGAGTCATCTATTTTCACTAAGTCAATCAATCAATCAATCAATCAATCAATCAATCAATCAATCAATCAATCAATCAAAAATATACTTTATTGTCAAATAAACACAACGGTCATCTATTACATATCAAATTCTCATAAACTACTATAATCACACAAATCTTAGAAAAAGGCAGATGCAGGTCTACCGTCTATCGATTTCTTGTCCCCATTTGACATTTCGCAAGTAACATTACATGAGGTATGTACTGCTCAGTTGTTGAGCAGTGTAATTCACTCGACGACAGGGAGCTCGTAATTACATTGGTGATGGTGAGACATTCTGCCGGTCGGGTCAAGATGTGTGTCTAGGCAGGAGGGACCCTCATTTCTCTGTACCACCATAGATAAAGGGATTTCGTCTATAAAAATATTCAGAAGCTTTATGTTTATATCTTGACATAAAGAATTCGGTTAGGTGAACGATATCCCGCGCTTGAAAAAGATACGTTGAATCGTTCAAATAAATTAGAGATTTCTTCTGTTCGGGCTATGGTTGGGCTATGACTATACAGTTCATTAAACCGACCGAACTCATAAATAGGTCGATGCATAATTATTATTATGTGAAGAAATGATAAATGAACAAAGAAATATTTATTTGTTTTGTTCTCGGGAAAATATGCTGCAGCATCTGTTTTCATTTTCTGCCCTGTTTGGTTGTTTGTTCTACTTTTACCATCATCAGAACCTGCATGATGACTTATATGATCTACAGAATTCAGTAAACTTTGTGCGATTATCTCGGCGATTATAGACAATGACAATGTGCTCAGCAAATACGAGATATCCAGATAGCAGGCATTTCAATGGCCCATTGATTTTATCGATGATTCACTGCTCTCCTTATTCATTATTATTGTCGGTCAATCAAGAACAATAATTAAATTTACTTCTTTACTGTTTCCATCACATAACTCTTGGTGAAATGCAATACGAATAAATTACCTAGAAGAAAACCATGGCTCCCTAAAGAACTTATTGATGAAGGCCAATATACAGGGTGTTTCACAGGTAAAGGGAAATATTTCAGTGGTACATAGGGGTCACCAAGGTGGTTCTGAAAATACCATATTTGATAGGTCTTAGAGTCTTCATAACGGAGATACAGGGCGATTTATCGATTTCGAATAATTATTCATTTGTCTATAAATATTGAACTACCCGGTATATTATCCTCAAGTTTGGTATGGATCTTAAACTTGGAGCGAAAATCCAGGTTCGGCTTCAGGAAGAATTTACATTTATTCGACATATTGAAATAACACACTGTATGTAATAACTAACAGAGTTCATCGAAGAAATCGTGGAGAGGAGGAAAAACTGAATTGGATTTAATGCTCTTTGTTTTCCCTCCACCAATTCGCATAATAACAATCATAAACAGTAAGTTAGAAGTATGTCAATTCGAAGAGTATTAAAATTATAAAACCAGTTTTAATTATGATTATTTGATATATTTTAGTTGAATGATCGTTCGAAAGAACTTACTAAGTCTCACTGTCTTTATAACAGAGATTCAGGGTGAATTATCAGTTTCGAATAATTATTTACTCGTCCATAAGTAAGTATTGAACTATACCCAGTAATATTTTCTCAAATTTGGTATCGAGCTTACTTGGGACGTTAGATTCATTGACCTATCATGCGGAATGGAAATACAGGTTCAGCTTCACGAAAAGTCTCACAGTCATTATAACAGAGATACAGGGTGAATTATCGGTTTCGAATAATCATTTACTCGTCCATAAGTATTAAACTATACGCAGTAATATTTTCTCAAATTTGGTACGGAGCTTACTTTGGACGTTGGATTCATTGACCTATCGGGCGGAATGGAAATACAGGTTAGGCTTCAAGAAAAATTTAAATTCATTCGAAATATAAAAAAACATACTGTATTTAATAATTAACAAAGTTCATCAAAAGAATAATCGTGAACGGGAGAAAAAACTGAATTGGATTTGATACTTCTAGCGATTATTCAACTAGAAGATATCAAATAATTATAATTCGATAATTCACCCTGTATCTCCGTTATAAATATACTGTGAGACTTTTCCTGAAGCTGAACCTGTATTTCCATTCCGCCTGATAGGTCAATGAATCCAACTTCCCAAGTGAGGTCCATATCAAATTTTGAGAAAATATTACTGGGTAGTTCAATACTTATGGACGTGTGAATAATTATTCGAAACTGATAATTCACACTGTATCTCTGTTATAAAGACAGTGAGACTTAGACTTCTTTCGAACGATCATTCAACTAAAACATATCAAATAATCATAATAAAAACTTGTTTCATTATTTTAATATTCTTCAAATTCATATACTTTCAACTTTTTGTTTATGATTGTTACGATGCGAATTGGTGGCGGGAAAACAAAAAGCATCAAATCCAATTCAGTTTTTCCTCCTCTCCACGATTTCTTCGATGAACTCTGTTAGTTATTACATACAGTGTGTTATTTCAATATGTCGAATAAATGTAAATTTTTCCTGAAGCCGAACCTGGATTTTCGCTCCGCCCGATAGGTGAATAAATTCAACGTCCCAAGTTTAGGATCCATACCAAACTTGAGGAAAATATACCAGGTAGTTCAATACTTATAGACAAATGAATAATTATTCTCTAAGACCTATCAAATATGGTATTTTCAGAACCACCTTGTTGACCCCTATGTACCACTGAAATATTTTCCTTTACCTGTGAAACACCCTGTATTAGAGATATGTATAAAAATATCAAATACTTCAATGATGAAGATCTATAAACGAGATACAAAGTTCATGAACTAATAATCAAATTGGCTAAACAAAATTACCATTCAGACCTTTTCTCAAAATCGAGCTATATTTCTAGAGCTGCTTGGCAAGTCATTAGAAGAAACAGCATAACTTCAGCGGGTAAAACATTTCCTGATTACTTTGTTGATGAGGATGGTAACCAATTTCATAACTTTCAAGATGCCGCCGAAAATTTCAATAATTTCTCTGTTGAATCCGTAAATAATATATAAAGTGAGAATGCTTCACCGCTTATCAACAATAAACTTGCCTATAATGAAAGAATATCAAATACACTCTTTTTGCACCCTTTCGAGGAAAATGAAATTCGTGAAATAATATTACCTGTGAGCAAAAAACACTCAGCAGGTGTAGACGGTATCCCATGTGAAACACACTCATCTATATATTAGCAGCTCTAACTTATTTATTCAACTTATCTTTCCAAGAGGGATCGTTTCCAACTACCCTTAAAAAAATCCATTGTTATCACGACACATGAAAATGGTGATAAATACATGATTTCTAAATACGGCGGAATATCACTTTCATCAGTTTTTTCAAAAATAATTGAAAAATGCTTTTTTATACGACCTGAATCATTCTTGCATAAAGAAACATTTTTTAGATACTAATTTGGTTTCCGAAAGCGTCGCTCCATGCACCCAATAAGATGCTATAATTTCTTTATATTCGCATATAATGTCGAATTTTGAACAGAATAACAAGTCCTTAACACTCTTTTTTGATCTAAAAAGAGCGTTTGATGTAATAAATCGCGGTCTGGCTTTCGAGTGGATTGAATCTGACCTTACCAATAGAGAACAAAAAACCAACTTAAAAACAAATGAAATTTAGGTTCATTCAAGTTTTTTTCTGTTACCAGTGGCGTCCCTCAGGGGAGCATACTAGGACCCCTCCTATTTATAACTGTTTTTGATAGCCTCATGCAGCATTTTCCTCATCATTATGTAGCAGCATTCGCTGACGATGCTGTTGTTACGACGTCAAATAGCAGTTTGGATATGCTATCTAAAATGTTATGTGTGCGATTAACCAGATGATGAATTTCTGCAAAGTTAAGGGACTTGTGTTAAACGAAGATAAAACTGAAATGATACTACTCAGCTTTACTGATTTGAATGAAAGCCTGTTTGTTAACCTCAACAACAGAACCATTGAACAGAAGAGGGTCGCTGAATATCTCGGAATTTTTATAGATGAGCATTTAACTTGGTCGTGTCAATCTTTCAATCTACACTTACGTTCTTTGGCAACTTAGGGATAAGGTATGGACGCTGATCTCTTATTACTTTATTATTTTGGATATGTTCAATCTTGTCTTTCTTATGCCATCATGTGCTGGGGCAGCTGTGCTAGGGCTGATGAGGGCTTCAGAGCTCAAAAGAGAATAATTAGAATTATATTATTCAAATCGTTTACCTTTTCTTGTACAGAATTATCCCCAGAATTGAACCTACTAACATTTCCCTCCCTGTTCATTCTTGCATCAATGATGCAGGTCAAAAATAACTTATCTGAATATGCTGTTTCTAGGAATAATCAATATGATCTTAGAGTAAATATGGATATGACCTTACCCAAGCACAGACTGACCATCAAGGTAGCAAATGGTCCATTCCTACCAAATTAAACAATAAACTACTAATGGAATTGAAAAAAGTACAAAATAAACATATAAATTTAAAAATACCCTTGAAGTTATTTTGATTAAAAATTCGTTTTATTCAATCAATGATTTTTTCAATTGCAACGTCTCTGACCTCGCACCAAATACTTTTTGTTGATGTCCTCACCACTTTTGTTTATGTGCAAAATTTTTCGAAGTTTGTTCTTCCACCAATATGTATATGTTCACTCACTGTATATCGGATTTTTTAATTAGAAAACCTATATTGACATTATCCAATACCTATACTGCATAGTTCATGGAGATTAATATTTTGTATTTGTATTGTATTTGAATTTGTAAAAACTCGTAGAATGTACTTTTATTGTGCTGGTATAATATTAGGCAGGGCTGGGCCAATCGGAGGTGGGGGGAAGGGCGTCCTCCCCTCCCCCCAAGAAATCGGAAGTTGGGAGAATTTAATTTTTAAAACAGGTTGATGTTTATTTCCATTTTATAATATTAGTAGCACATTATTTGAAATATTGTTCAGAACGGTGTTCAACGTTCGCCGTACGCAACTGCATATTTGTGACTCGTTGGATATTCAACATACATTGTGGAAACCTATAATGGAATACAATCCGTATCTCCATAACAAACATATATTTTGGAAAATCTTCGGCCAGAATGATTTTTATTTTTGAAAATCTATTATTTTACATTAAAACTTTTAACCTCTTATCCTCCTACCCTATACAGACAATCCTTCAAACATTTTTTAAATTGTACAAGGGGTCATGTTACACCTCGTCGAAACTCAAGTTGCACTCCTCCTGAACTGAGGGAATTCGCCCCAACGGCTATACAGAACATTGTTTTCGCCGTTTTAGTGTGTCCCATTTAGCAATAAGAGGGTGTGATTTGGTCACTATAATAAAGGTCCATGGAGGATGGAAGTCCTCAGCAGTTGCTGAAGGTAACATAGAAGCCCCTGTGAAGAGAAGAATTGAGGCAGCTCAAATGTTTTTTCTCACCCTTCAACTTCTACAGATAATTCTGATACCTCTACCTCACAGAGTCGCATTGTACAAACAATAACCTGATCAGACTGAAATGAGCACAATGTTGTGTCAACAGCAGGCCAATAAAACTTACCAGCAAATTTGATAATAAATACTCAAGATACCTGTAATGTTATATTCAATGTATACAGGGTGTATCTAAATGACACCGAAAAAGTTCAAGCAGTATTTCCTTGTGAGTTATTCTAATTGGGGTTATTGAGTTATCTCAATGGAAGTCTTGGAAACACCTACATTAAAATTTGGAGTCAAATCGAATTTTTATTGTTTCCTCAAATATTAAGCAAGATGCAAAAATCATACAATGGATAAAGAAGTTGTTATATAACAATAGTTCAAACTGATGAAAATATGAAAATAAAAAAACCGGTTGTGTACCATGACATTCACCATGAATATCGATAAATTTACCTACTGTGACGCCACTGGAAATATTATATCGAATATAATTGCACTAGAAGAAGCTCCATATTACTATCAACAAAACCACAACATTTCATTGAAATTGATGAAAAGAAGAAGAAGAAGAAATTGAGAAATTAATTGAAAAAAGATTTTTCATGGAAATATTAATACCCTGTATCTCGAAAACGAAGCAAGTTGGGACACAATTATGTTTATATGAACTTTTTTTCCTTAAATATCACGAGGTATTACCCCTTGAATTTTTTCGGTATTATTTAGATACTGTAACACAATTGCACCATTCGAAGCAGATTACATGATTATCATAGATTATTTCGTTCATGAAATATAATATGTAAAACATTCATTCAAACATCGTTCTGCAGCATGGATTATTTGTTGCCCCTGTGTCGTGTGAACCAACAATGTTACACCATTTACATTATTTTCAATTTTTCAAATATCGCTGGAATACCTATTTACCAAACTTACCTACTTGAAATTCAACGATATCGATACTACGATGACACAAAGTCATCAATAACATCTCATTGGACCATTAGCATAATATTAGATGCATTTCCATGACATAATTTTTCCTACAATGCACAGTTGATATGTTTTCCATAATATATAGTTCTCATATTTTATCATTATAGGCTTTTTGCGCATGTGAATACTTTTTCTATCTCTTGGAGTGCACGAAAGAAAATTCCTATGATGTTCGAAGAACATCGTGCGTAGGGAGAGGAGGTAGGTGTTGGAACTGTTTTATATGTTTTGGGAATACTTCCTTTGGCAAAGAATTCTAAGGCTATATGTGTTGGAATACTATTTAAAACAATATCAAATCCACTGACTATCTTTACCACTCTGTATCATAACGATGATTATTGATTTTTGACTTAAGTTGTCACTTCATGCCACTTTTGTATATGCAGTAGTTATTAATAAAGCATTACATATTAATAAATATTGCCTTCCTGTTCCCCACAAATCGCACTCAGCCAACAGGTTATGGGCCCAGGCTCATGTTAATCGTGAAATAAATTTCGAAAAGATCGTTTTTTCGCCTCATTTTTCCAGCCACAATGTCGACTGTATTACCTTCAATTGAAAAATTGCAAGGACGTGAGAATTTCGATAGTTGGAAATTTGCTGTTAAGACTTATCTGGAACATGAAGAGTTGTGGGGCTGCGTGACAGGAACTGATACAGACGAAAGAAGGATTACAAAAGCTAAGAGTAAGATTATTCTCCTGATAGATCCCATCAATTTTGTACATGTGCAAAATCAGACTACCGCGAAAGGTGTATGGGACGCTTTGAAGAAAGCTTTTGAAGACAGAGGGCTCACGCGAAGAGTAGGGTTACTCAGAACCCTAATAACAACCAGACTTGAAGACAGCAAGTCAGTTGAAGACTATGTCAACAAGATTGTTGGCACAGCACATAAGCTATCTGTTGTTGGACTCAACGTTAGTGATGAATGGGTTGGTACAATACTTTTAGCTGGATTACCCATTGAATATGAGCCTATGATTATGGGCATAGAGAGCTCTGGAGTACCAGTAACTGGAGACTGCATAAAAACAAAGTTACTGCAGGATGTCAAGTCGACTAAAGATGAAATTGCTATGTACAGCAACAGATTTCCCGATAGGAATAGAAAGTCAACCAGCATTAGAGTTGGCAATGGTTCAGCAAATAAAACCAGAACAATTCGGTGTTTCCAGTGTAACAGGTATGGACATTTTGCCAAGAACTGTGACAAACCGAAGAAAGACAAGAGCATTGATACAGAAAAGCACACCGTGGCACTATATTCAGCGTTATCAGTTGCACCAAGTGATCACAGCAAAAGTGATTGGTATTTGGACTCGGCTGCTACCCTTCATATGACAAATAATTTGGACATACTTGAAAATGTCAAAATTACCACTGAGTGTTCCATCTCCACCGCGAATGATCAAAGAATGTGTGCAAATCAAATAGGTAGCGTTACCCTACCTGTTTCAGACTCTCATAATGCGGAAATTGAAAATATTGTTTATGTGCCAGATTTGAAGGTGAACCTGTTATCAGTTAGCCAGATAGTGAAGAAGAATTGTTCTGTTTTATTCAATGCCACTGGTTGTGAGATTTATGATTCTCAGCAACATGTTATTGCCTCAGGAACACTAGATAAAGACTTATTCAAACTTGACCTGAAAAATAATCATATAGCATGCCATGCATCAGTAAACTCAATGTTATGGCACCGTAGGCTAGGGCATATAAACTTTGATAGTTTGAATAAACTCAAAAATGGTATGGCATCAGGCCTAGATTTTTCGAATACTGATACGAATTGTAAGTGTGAAATTTGTGGCATGGGTAAATGTCAAAGGTTGCCATTTAAGGACAGTGAAACGCACACAGAAGAAGTTCTCAAGTTGGTGCATTCGGACTTATGTGGACCTATTGAAATGGAAAGTATAGCTGGTTCACGATATATGCTAACTTTCTTAGACGACTATACACACAAGGTATTCGTGTACTTTCTAAAAACGAAAGATGAAGTTTTTGACCATTTCAAGACTTTCAAATGTTTAGTTGAAAATCAGACTGGAAAAACAATAAAAACACTCCGTACCGATAATGGGGGTGAATATCTGAGTACAGCATTTAATAAATATTTGAAAGACTCTGGTATTATACATCAGCTGACCGTGCCAAGAACAGCTGAGCAGAATGGCAAAGCGGAACGTTTGAACCGTACAATTGTCGAAAGAGTGAGATGTATGCTGATCGATTCTGAGTTACCTAACAGTTTTTGGGCAGAGGCAGCTAACACAGCGGTCTACTTACTCAATCGATCTCCTACGAAGTGTCTCAAAGAAAAAACCCCAGAGGAAGCGTGGAATGGCATCAAACCAAAGCTAGATGGGCTACGGATCTTTGGCTGCAAAGTTCATGCACATGTAGCCAAAGAAATACGTAAAAAATTGGATAGAAAATCTGTACCTAGTATAATGGTTGGTTATAGTTCTGAAAGCAAGGCCTACCGACTATATAACCCCTCTACAGACAGGGTATTTATAGCTAGAGATGTTGTGTTCTTCGAGAATGAGAAAGGCAATTCACTGATTGAGCAGGCTCGGAAAGAAGAAAATAAACATTTTTTTGTATTTCCAGACGAGACTAGTAATAACCTTGCTCAAAATGATGAAAATGAGTCAGTTTCTTCTTCGTTTCAATCTAACAGTGAAGAACAGCATGAAAATGACTCAGAACACTATCAAGAACAATATCTAGACCAGGATCAAGATTTCATCACAGACCAAGTTGTACAGGTTTCAGCTGACGGAGTGAGAAGAAGCCAAAGAGAGAGAAATGTACCAAAACATCTGAATGATTATGTTAGCTATGCAACTATGGTTGATCATTCTGATCCTCAGACAGTTGAAGAAGCTTTGAGTAGACCAGATTGTGACAAATGGCGGGCAGCCATGAAAGAAGAGTATGCAGCCTTGATTGACAACAAAACGTGGG